ATGATCATGGTGATGGTGGTGGTGATGGCGGTAGTGATGGTGGTGGTGATGGTGATGGTGATGATGGTAGTGGTGGTGGTGGTGGTAGTGATGGTGTTAGTTATGATCATGGTGATGGCGGTAGTGGTGGTGGTGATGATGCTGATGGTGGTGATGGTGGTGGTGGTGATGGCGATGATGGTGGTGGTGGTGGTGGTGGTGGTGGTAATGCTGATGGTGGTGGTGGTGGTGGTGATGGTGGTGGTGATGATCGTGGTGATGGTGGTGGTGATGGCGGTAGTGATGGTGGTGGTGATGGTGATGATGGTAGTGGTGGTGGTGATGATGCTGATGGTGGTGATGGTGGTGGTGGTGGTAGAGATGGTGATGATGGTGCTAGGGTCGCTAGGCTCTGTAAAGGGCCCTTGGCATCCAGGGTGGTGTAGCCTGTGCACCGCATAGAGCCTCAGGGGTACAAAAGATGCAGGTCCCTCTTCAGGACAGGATCTCCGAGGGGAGAGAGCATGGGGAGGCGAGTGGGGATGGCATGGGGAGGAGGGTAGTGGGGATGTCAGGGAAGGGCGATGGCTGGGTGGAGGCAGTGTGGGAAGAGGCCTGCGCAGGTGTGGGTGAGGAGCAGGCTGTGGACAGACCCGCGCTGGCTCAGCCGGTCGGTGCCGTCCTGTCTGTCTCGAGAGGCAAGGCAGGCACTGGATGGAAAGAGGGGTGCAGGAGGAGCCAGGCCTCCAGCAGAAGAGGGAGGGGAGCTGCAAGGAGGTGCAGGGGAGAAGACGCGCCCCTCCCCCCAGGGGACCCTGAATCAGCACGCTGGACGGGGCAGGCTGGACCTCAGGGGGCGCGGCCCGTGGCTGGGGGGGCGCAGGGGTCCCGGCCGGGGCTTAGCACGGCCGACAGCACTAAAGCGCCACTGCCAGGCCAAGCAAATCTTTTGTGTGTGGCGGCGCTGAGCCAGCAGGCGCCCCGGGGTATAATAACCGGGTCCCTGGGCGGCCAGAGACTCGCCATGGCGCAGCGCTCAGGGAAGGTGAGTGGCCGCCGGCCCGCAGCCTCTCTTGTCCAGGGGGTGGAGAGGGGGAGAGCTGCCTTGTGCACTTTTTAGGTAGGATGGCCTGAAGCGCTGGCTTGTCTTTTGAGCTAAGTGGGCAATCTCCATTGACTGAGGGCCTCAGTGTGCACCTTTTGCATCCCCTTTCTCTTACTTTGCGTGTGTGCATGCATGCGTGTGTGTGTACGTGCGTGCGTGTGTGTGTGTGTGTGTGTGTGGTCTTGGAATTGTAATTCAGGGCCTGGGCACTGTCCCTGAGCTTTTGTACTCAAGGCTAGCACTCTACCACTTGAGCCACAGCTCCATTTTGGGCTTTTCGTGTGTGTGTGTGTGTGTGTGTGTGTGTGTGTGTGTGTGTGTGATTCCTTGAAAATAAGAGTCTCATGGACTTTCTTCCCCAAGCTGGCTTTGAACCTGGATCCTCAGATCGCAGCCTCCTGAGTAGCTGCGATGACAGGTGGGAGCCGCCCGTGTCTGGCTGAGTGCAATGCACCCCTTCTGTTGTTCTCCCCCAACTAACCCCCCTGTCAGTCTTCCTAACCCTCACCCTAATACCCCCACCTACTGGGTCAGGAGCAGGAAGGGTTCTAGCTCAGGGCAGGGGAGCCCTGCAGCACCCCTTCTCGGCCGAGGTGTCCCTGGGAGCTTTTCTTCCCCACGGTCTCTTCAGGGACCCTCCTGTCCTTTTCTTGGCTGAATGCTGAGATCTAAGGGATCTCCAAACCCTGGGTGCTCAGGTCTCAGGCAGGAAGAGTAGCCATGTGTCCTCTCTTCTCCTCTGTCCTCTCTTCTCTTCTCTACCTTCGCAGTCCTCTGGTCTGATGAGGCCTGTGCTGTTTGATGGCTCAGTCATCAGTGGTGAAGCTTCACCGATCTGTCTGCACGGGCAAGGCTGCTCGTCAGTAACTAACAGGGCCAGGCCCACAGCAGCAGGTGGAGGGAAAGAGCCAAAGGCTAAAGGTGCCCGGCCTTCCGAGCGTTTGCTCACCGGTGTGGCTTTGGCCAGAAGCAAGGGGCCATCCTGTGGGTTGGTAAAATTCCAGATCTGGCACTGGCCTGTCACCAAGAGGAATGCCTGGCCTTCTTAGAAACAGAGACCCGAGGCAACACACATGCTAGCCGCGGGGGCCTGGCTCTCACAGGTTCTGGTCTTCCAGGGAGAGCTTCCGCACTGGGAACTGGAAAGTTTGGAAAAATAAATGTGGGGTTGGGGGCGATGCGTTGTGGATGAAGTTTATTCTTCTGCCAGCATTTCCTCTTGGCGCTTTATGCCTTACCAATGAGCCAGGGTTGGTGTGCGCGAATGCAGGGCAAGTCCCTGCGAGAGTGAGTGCAGTGTTGGCCCCCGGGGCGGGGCGGGGCGGGGCAGCGCTGGGGCCTCGGTCCTCTGCCCGATCAGCAGGGGGGATGAGCGAGGCCAGGTTTGGGGCTGGGGAGTTTGGGTTCCACGGCCTCTGTCTGAGTCACTGCGCGTGGCCTGCCTAGATCACGCTCTACGAGGGCAAGCACTTCACTGGCAGGAAGCTGGAGGTTTTTGGGGACTGTGACAACTTCCAGGACCGAGGCTTTATGAACAGAGTGAACTCCATCCGTGTGGAGAGCGGAGCGTGGGTCTGCTTCGACCACCCTGACTTCCGGGGCCAGCAGTTCATCCTGGAGCACGGCGACTACCCCGACTTCTACCGCTGGAATGGTCACAACGACCACATGGGCTCCTGCCGGCCTGTCGGCATGGTGAGTGGCCACAGGCTGGGACGGACAGGTCAGGCCCTCCTGACCCCAACATCTTCCACACCCAGAGAGTCCTGCCCAGACCTAATCCCTGGCACAAGCGCACCATGTGGGGACCAAGTTGGGGAGCCCCTATGAGTTTCCAGGGAGCCAATTTATATCTAAACATGTAGCCAGGCACCAGTGGTTCACGCCTGTCATCCTAGCTACTCGGGAGGCTGAGATCTGAGGATCACAGTTCAAAGCCAACCTGGGCAGAAAAGTCCATGAGACTCTTTTTTTTTGGGGGGGGGGGGATGAGGTCCAGTCGTGGGGCCTGAACTCTGGGCCTGGGCACTGTCCCTCAGCTCTTCAGCTCAAGACTAGCGCTCTACCACTTGATCCACAGTGCCACTTCGGGCTTTTTTCTTTTTGCTTATGTGGTGCTGAGGAATCGAACCCAGGGCCTCAGGCATGCAAGGCAAGCGCTCTACCACTGAGCCACCTTCCCAGCCCCCCCATAAGAATCTTATCTCCAATGAACCATTCAGGAAACGGGAAGTGGTGCTGTGGCTCAAGTGATAGAGGGCTAGCCTGAAGCAAAAGAAGCTCAAGGACAGCACCCAGGCCCTGAGTTCAAGCCCCAGGACTGGTAGACACACACACACACACACACACACACACACACACACACACTAATCTAAGTTTGGATTTTCAACTGGATGGAGGATCATCAGCAAAAGGAAGGCTGGTGTGAACACTGCGTGGAATGGGGCCCAGTGGCCCCTCCCAAGGGAGGGAGCAGGAGGAATCCAAGGCCGCGGGCCAGGCCCTCAGACACGCACAGGTGGCCGCCGGCCCCAGCATGGCCTGCCGCTCACCCCAGCTTTCCTGTGTGCTAGTGGTTTGGGTGAGGAATGGCCTCTTCCACACACTGAGAGAGCCTGTCTGCCTGTCCTCCTGTCTGTCAGTCCTCTGTGGCCCTGTGATCTGGGGCTCTGGGAGACATGAGGAGAGTCAGGTCAGGCCCCTCTCTGCGTGGGCCCCTCTCTTGTCCGTGTGTCTTACAGAATCAGCCGGCCTCGTATGAATGCCAGGCCATGGACTTGGGGAAATGAATGAACGCGGCTGGCCTGGCTCTCGGATAATGCTATTTGTATGGCTACCTAGAGTGGGCAGCTTGTGAATGCTGTTCCCATAGGAACCATCCCTGGTGCCATCTGGGGTGGGGACGTGGGTGCAGCCTCCTGTGTGCGGAAGGAGGAGACTGCGTCCAGAGGGACTTCAGCCAACCCCGTCCGTTATTTGTTTTAGATCAACGCTTTCAGGTTTTGAGAAAAGGCTCTATTGCCTTTTCTAAAGCGTTGTTATCTGAAGGCCTGTCCGTGGTTTCCCTTCTTCGCCCTGGGCGAAGTTGTCAAGGCTGGGGAGTGTGTTAGTCTGGCGGGGGCTGGAGCCCGGGCTCAGCACCTGACTCGAAGCCCTGCTCCAGCAGCCTCTCAGCCACCTGGTCCTGCATGGATTTCTTGGTTATAGGAAAGTAGAAATCAGAGAAGTGCATCCATTCAGTGGCTCTGAAGATTTTTCTTTTTCTTCGTGGCATTGAGGTTTAAGCTTAGTGTGGAACTGGCTCGGCTAGTTCCCTATCTCTAAGCCATACCTCTAGCCTTGCTTTGGCTATTGTCTTGTGTTTTGGTCTGGGTCAGCCTGAACCTTGATCCTCCTATTTATGCTTCCCGCATCACTAGGGTGATAGGTATTTGCTACCTCCCCCAGTGTGTGTGTGTGTGTGTGTGTGTGTGTGTGTGTGTGTGTGTGTGTCTGTGTGTGTCTGTGTGCTGGTATTTAGGGCCTTTCTCTCTTTTTTGCTCAGCTTTTTCCCACTCTCGCATGGTGCCTTACCCCTTAAGCCACACCCACCATGCCAGCTTTTTGCTGGCTAATTGGCTATTAGAGTCTTTTGGATTTGTCTGCCTGAGCTGGTTTCAAACTGCGATCCTCAAATCTTAGCCTCCTAAGTAGCTAGGATTATAGCTATGAGCCACTAGAGCCCAGGTTAGCACTCTACTACCTTGAGCCACAGCTCCACTTCTGGTTTCCTGGTGGCTAATTGGGAATAAGAGTCTCATGGCCTTTCATGCTGAAGCTGGCTTTGAACAGTGATCCTGAGATCTCAGTCTCCCGAGTAGCTAGGATTACAGGCATGAGCCACAGAGCCCAGCTTACATCCAGCTTTTATTGGTTGAGATCGGGTCTTCAGAAATTTTTGACCGGGTTGCTCTATATCTGATCTCAGCCTCTAGAGTAGCTAGAATTCCAGAAGAAAGCTACCATTCCCAGCAGCTTTATAGAGTAATAAAGCCAGCTGGGAAGGTGGCCTCGTGGTATAGTGGTAGAGTGCTAGCTCTGAGCAAAAGCAGCTCAGGGACGGTGCCCAGGCCCTGAGTTCAAGCCCCAGGACTGGCAAAAAAACGCTTTTTGTCCCATAATGTCTCATGTGAAAGAACAGCACTGTATGTCCTGGGGCGGGGGGCCGGGGCGCTTGCCAGCCCCTCCGCTCAGCCCGGAGACCCTCGGCGTCCAGAACCCTGGTACACAGGATTGATAGGGAAGGGGGAGAGGGAGGGGCACGCCACAATCCCCTTCTTTCCTTCCTCTACTCGGCTGTGTCTTGGAGCACGGGGAGCACTTCCGCCTAGAAATCTTCGAGGGCTGCAACTTCACGGGGCAGTGTCTGGAGTTCGTGGAAGACTGTCCCTTCCTGCAGAGCCACGGCTGGCCCAAGAGCTGCGTCAACGCTGTCAAGGTGTACGGAGACGGCGCGTGAGTGCGGGCATAAGTGCGGGGGGGTGGCTGCCCAAGGCGGGAGGGGCGGGCACCGTGCCCCAAGCCTCACAGACCCCTGCCCCCGCCTGCTGCCTCCTCTGCTCCCAGACAAGTAGCCCAGCAAGGCTTCAGAGGGAGACACGGGGTCCCCAAGACTCCCTGTGGCCGCTCCTCCGTCCTGACGCGGGGGGGGGGGGCGCACTCTGCATTGGGTAGCGATGGCACTGGGTTTTGGGGGGCTGGGGAGGGAGAAGCCGCAGCAGCGGGAGCAGGGCCGGCCTGGGCTCTGTTGCTGGTGCTCACTCTCCTTGCCTGAGCTCCTCTGTGCACAGGGCCTTGAGCTAAAAGACTCACAAATTGGGGTCTGTGTCCCAGAGGAAGAAAAAGCCTTCAATAGCCCTGGGGCGCTGGGGCTGAAAAGCAGGAACTGTTTGAACCAAGTGAAGGCCAGAGCCCTCCCTTGGTCTGGGCCACAGGCAGCCTTAGAGATCAGAGCTGTGTGCAGCTTGGGAGGGCTTCCTTCCTGCCTGCCTGCCTCGTTCCCTCCCTCCCTCCCTCCCTTCCTCCCTTCCTCCCTCCCTCCTTTCCTCCCTTCCTTCCTGCCTTCCTGCCTTTGTCAGTCATAGGGTTTGGACTCAGGGCCTGGCGCTGTCCCTGAGCTCTTTTAGCTCAAGGCTAGTGCTCTACCACTTTGAGCCCTAGTGTCACTTCCAGTTTTTGAGTGGTTCCACACAGCTGTCCAGCGGGGCAGGGACGGGCAAGGGTCCCCGGGCTACCCTGGCGCCCCTGACCACCCTTCTGGCCCCCAGGTGGGTGCTGTACGAGGAGCCCAACTACCGCGGGCGCCTGTACGTGGTGGAGAGGGGCGACTTCCGCAGCTGCTCCGAGTGGGAGGCGCCGAGCGCCCGCGTGCAGTCTCTGCGCAGGGTGGTCAACTTCTTCTAGCGACCCCGGCAATAAAGGTCCTGAATGCCCACTGCGCCCGCCCAGTGCCTCCTGGGCCCCCCGGGGGGAGGCGCCCCTGGCCCTGGAGGGAGAACTGGGAGGCCCCGATGGATCCTGGGGTTCTTGCAGGACAGGGGGGGCACACACCTCACCTCACCCCTGAGCGGCTTTGCCCAGCGGCAGGAGGTGATGGACCCAGGGCCAGGGAGGGCCAGGTGCCGCCAGGATGCCCCCCCAGGCGCCCTCTCCTCCTGGGGGACCCCTGCTCAGTCAGCAGGGGGCGGGGGGTGCAGGCCAGGTCGGGGGCTGTGCCTGGCGGGGCCCAGTGCCCAGATCCCGCTGCCAGCCTCTCCTGACTCAGCGTTGCCGCTGCCAGCGTCTGCACCCGGCCTCTCGGGGTTTGTCCACCCTGGCCCATGCGTGCACCTCCCGGGGGAGACGCGCCCCACCGGCCCCGGTTCCACACCGGGACATCCTGCTGGGTTGGAGGCGCAGGGCTGGCGGGAGCCGGGGAGAGGGAGGGGGTGGACAGCCAGTCCCAGGGCTGGCCCAGCTCAGCCGGCTGGCCCTGCCGCACACGCCTCGCCCCGCCCCCCCACCCCTGCTCAGCTCAGCTCCCCTGGGAGTGGGGGAGGCCTCCTGGGGTGTCCCAGGACGGCCCAGGCCGAGCCTCGACATGGCGCCAGGCCTCCGGGAAGGGCAGGGCAGCCTCCTGCTACCTGGTAGCTGGGCTCACAGACACTCAGAGGGCTCGTGGGGTCCCGCACCTGCCCTTCCCGCCTGGCAACCACAGAGAAGCCGCTGACCAGAAGTGAGCTGAGGACACCCCAGCCGGACACCCTCCAACATAGACACCCGACATATGCGCATGCGAGCATGCGTGCGCGTGCGCACACACACAAACACACGTACACACACACACACACTATAGAAAAACTAAAAAAAGCCTGATGCCAGTGACTTGCACTAATAATCCTAGTACTCAGGATGCTGACAGCTGAGGATCTCAGTTCAAAGCCAGTCTGGGCAGGAAAGTTCATGAGATTTTTTTTTTTTTTTTTAGTTGGTTGTGGGCTTGAACTCTGGGCCCCATGACCAACAAAAACCAAAACAAGACAAAAGTTAATAAAAGTCAACCACAGGGCTGGGAAGGTGGCTCAGTGGTAGAGCGCTTGCCTTGCATGCATGAGGCCCTGGGTTCAATTCCTCTGCACCACATAATCAGAAAAAGCCAGAAGTGGCACTTTGGCTCAAGTGGTAGAGCGCTCGCCTTGAGCTGAAGAGCTGAGGGACAGCGCCCAGGCCCGGAGTTCAGGCCCCACAACTGAGGGAAAAGAAAGTCATCCACCTACCTGAGTTCAGATTCCTAGACCAGACTGTCCAGCATGCCACCAAAGGTGTTTGTTTAAAGTCACCCTCAGTGAACACGGTGGATCATTCCTTTAATCTTAGCTACTCAGGAGGCTAGGATCTGAGGATGGCAGTTCAAAGCCAGCCTGGACAAGAAAGTCTGTGAGACTCTTATCTCCAATTAACCACCAGAAAACCGGAAGTCGCGCTGTGGCTCACAAGGTAGAGCCTTAGAGCTGAGGGACAGCGCCCAGGCCCAGAGTTCCAGCTCCATGACCAACAAAAATAAAGTCATCCTCAGCCTTTCATTTCACTACCAGCCTGGGCATGAGCCGGCCGGCTGCGTACAGGGGTGTGTCTGCCGACGGGGCCTGACCCTTGCATGCCAGCCTAGTCTGCCACAGCTGCGCAGCACACCTCCACTCCTACTCCTAAGGCTGGCGCCATCCTGGGCAGTCTGGAGCTCACACAGGATCACGTGCTCGTAATACCATTTCCTGGAGCACTGACTTTACGGCAGGCTCTGTAATCGACAGAACCCGTGTAATTTTGCTGATAGTAACTCCAAGGCTGTGACGTCATCATCATCACCCCGTTCACAGGAGGTGTGATGGGCACAGGCTGGTTAAGTGTGTGTGCTGAGAGCACACAGCAGGTTCACACCCAGGCCTGGCAGACGTGGCAGCTGGGCCCACGCCTTCCATCGCTGACACGCACAGTTGGAGAACAAAGCCACCGGAAACCTCCGCCAGCCCCGGGCCTGCTCTGTGCTGGTAGCACGTTCGTTGTGCAAAGAGGCTTCTTTGCAACATTCCTTTTTTATTTTTGCTGGTCCTGGGACTTGAACTCAGGGCCTGGGCACTCTGTCCCTGAGCTGCTTTGGTTCAAGGCTAGCGCTCTACCACTTGAGCCACAGAGCCACTTCTGGCTTTTTCTGAATAGTTCATTGGAGATAAGAGTCTCACAGACTTTTCTGCATCGTGATTCTCAGATCTCAGCTTCCTGAGTAGCTAGGATTACTGTGAGCTGCCCGCACCGAGTTCATTGCAATATTTCTATCACACAGACAATGTACTTCTTCCTTCCCTTTCCTCCTTCCTTTCTCTCTCTCTCTCCCTCCCTTTCTCTCTCTCTTCTTTCTTTCTTTCTCTTTTTTTTGTGTGAAAATACTGTACAGAGGAGTTACAATTATATGGACAAGATAATGCGTACATTTCTTATCAAGCATTGTAGCCTCCTCCTTTGTTTCCCCTTCCCATCCCTTCCCATCCTCCCCCCCTCCCCACCCCCTAATCCTCCTCCCCCCTTTTTTATTTATTTATTTTTTATTCTTTTATTCAATCCTGTTTGGAACAAGCTCGAGTGCTATGCCAGACTGCAATGCAGTCTATGAGCGAGCTTCACTATCACTTTCCCTCCTTTACGACCACCAAGACCAGCATTCAGATCTGATAGGAAAGGGAGGAGGGTCTTTCCTTCTTTCCTTTCTTTCTTTCTCTTTTTTTTTGGGGGGGGGG